GTGAGAAATTACTGTAGTTGGATGAATGTCAACTATAGTTTAATATAACTATTTTGTCACCATGGTGAGAAATTACTCTAGTTGGACAAATATCAAACCATGGTTTAATTTGTCACCATGGTGAGAAATCCTCTGGTCTAGTTATGTGACTGTTGTGAGAATGCTTTATTGTCTCTAATAATGTCACTGCAGTGAAAGAATTAAACCATGGTTTAATATCCTGTCACCATAGTATGAAATGCTTTAATCTCCTTACATTACAAATTTTATACTATTTAAGTAATTACATCAAGTAATTGAGCTTTATTATTGTTTGCTAGGAAATAGTCTGGTAGATTAATGAGCTTTTAATGCATACTGCTTATGTCAGCTAGAAGATGGGATTTGACATTTGCATTATGCTTGTAAAATACTTTTGAATTTAATGGTCATCCAATACATTACTTTCCATTTGACACCCATTTGAATGGCTTGCTTACATACCTTACTTGGCTGTGCCAAATACCCTCCATGGTTGTGTTGTGTTGCTGGCTTGCTTGTGGATAATGTTTATATTATTAAATTATTTAAAGCTTCAGAGGTTCAATATTGATATATTTAAATAAAGTTAAGATGTCAAAGCTTGTAATATATTATTTATTAGAGGTAGAATACTTATCTTGTTTTGTAAACATGTGTTTAATTAGTATTATCTAGAATATAATACTTTATATTAGTATATTGTACTTAAGTTAAACCATTTTCTAATTTAGGGTTAGTTTTCAGTAGTATAAAACATTCACTACAATTGCATTTAACAGCAGTGACAATTCTTCTGTAGCAACTGTGAATGATCAATTGTTTTAGCAAGGAATACATTGTTTACATTGTTTACATTATGTTTTCTCACTTCTCTCTTCTTCATCTTCTTTAACCATCCTTCAATCACTCCACAGCTTTGAGTAACCCATCTACAATGGAATCTATTGGTAAGGATCAATCAAAGTTCTTAGATATTGTGGCTAACAAATTTGAAGTGGAGAGCCTCCATGATGACTAGCATTAGCAGTGTAAGAGAAATAAGGCAGTGGATTCTGACTATATTGGCTAAAGGAAACATAGCTATCAATGAACAACCTCAAGGCAGTGATGAAGAAACTAGGTAGCATAAGTCAATCATACAAGAGGTGTTAATCAAGAGTAGACAGACATTACACCATTCTTGAACTGAATTACACTGCCATACCATATCCAAGACTTTATAATAAGCTGACATATCATAGGTAAGGAGGAAGATGATGAAGAACCAGACAGTAAGTGGTATTCCAAGAGCTATTTTAATTCTGATACTAAAACAGTAGTAGATGATGACCCAGGTAAAAGTAAGGCTTGGTTCTATTATAGTTTCAAGACAACTAAATAATAATGTACACAACTCTAGTATCTAGAGAGATTGTTAACCAGAATCTCCATTGGGAGGACCTTGTTGAACTCATCATCATGCAAGCATACCTCAGGACAGTGGCAGTCCCAGTTGATCAGATGAACCCCAATTGGGGGTCTAGAATGAAGTCAAATTGCCCCATCAACAATCACCAAGTGAAAGAGTTATCAACTCTGTTCATGGATACTAGTTTGTAAAAGACCACCATGGAGAACAGATTGTCTACAGGTTGCACAGCCAACAACTTTGCTAGAATGGTTGGATTGCCACTACCTGAAGTTTTGGAAAAGCACAAGATGGGAGGATATAGATTCAGAGCCAAACTCAGCTACTTCCCAACAGGTAACACAACTGGCCAGGACATTGCATTGTACACTGGTCAACATCACCATGTGGCAATCATCTTGATACTGTCCAACCACAAGAACCTTTCTGAAGAGGAAAAGTTAGATGTAAGTCAGGGCCAATTCAAACCATGGTTTGATTTCTGACTTTATCAAAGATAGCAATCTGGCCAACAGATTTTTATGACATTAGTATCTTGACCAAGGAAGCTAAAATACATCTATGCAAAAACATGTGACCAACTATTCTAAAAGAAAGCAATGGTGATATCTGGGCAAGACTGAGCCAGCTTCTACAATTAATGACAGAGGCTGAGCATAAACAGCAACTGAGCTCTAAAGCCAAATTTGAGTCCTGGGCTTCTTGAGTAATGCAACTCCCATCAACTAAAGCACAAAGATTTTGCATGCTTCTACAGCATGCACTGAAGCCTGTAGTTGACAAGATCTGCCAGACCCCCTGGGGTAGGGAGGTTCTGAATGTTTCCACATTGGATCAAATGGCATCCACCCAAATGGATGAGGTAAGCCATCAAAACTATGGAGACCTGTGATTAACATTAACTTGGGCAAAGATATGGATGATGTATTTTAACATAATGTTCAAAAGTATGGAAACCATTGTGGGGTATAACAATCAGGAAAGATTTAGCACCACAGACATCAAACTCATTGAAGCAGCACACATGGTTTTCATGGATTTTACCAAGCTGGCACACACCATGTTTCCAGATTTGTCAACTGTGAAAATGCAATTGGCAAAACATATTGCAAACATAGGATCAAGATCCTACCAAAACCCTGAAATATTCAAGTACCTCAGCAATGATGAGTATGGGGGTGTCTACAACAAACTAGCAAAAGGTAACATTCTACACATCTATACATTTGTAAAGCTTACATGACTTGCCAATAATGAGTACCATGCTGTTGCAAAAGTTTTCTAGCACATAATCAAATGGGTTAATCTAGCATATTAGCCCACCAGAAACACTTCAAAATCTCAAAAACACAAATAGTGGAAGGATCTTATTTGCCCATACTTGAATATGTCTCTCCCAACAAAGAAATTTTTGAATACACAACTTGACACAGCAGATGACTTTATTGTTTGAGTACTGATCCACTTTACTGGTGATGACCAAGACATCTGGCTTGAAAAATCCATCACAGCTTCTTATGTAAGGAAAGTCTGACACATTCATGAAAAACTGCTAAACTTTTAGAATGATCTTCCAGCAGATTGGGAAAAAAAGGACCTAGACAAATGGTAGCAGACAAAGCTCTACCAACAGCACTTCAAGCATGTAATTTGGGTTAAGCTTTTCCACACAGTTCAGGAAAGAACTGTCAACAACACAATCAAATATTATCTGGTGGAAGGAGTGGACAAGGTAAGAGCATTTCTCCAGTACAGAGCTAACCTTGCTAATTGTGGCAGCAATCCAGCAGGAAGCCATGGACTGTATGGGGTCCTAAAATCCATGAGAGCATGTATGCTTATAATCCCAAGCTGCAGAAACTGGACTTCATCAAGAACAGTAATAATAAAGCAGAGCTGGAAAAATGGGGTGCAATATTCAGTGCCCAGTACTCTTACTTTGAACTTTGACACACATTACAGAGAGAACTGCCAGTGGCTTCAACCCCTAAGAAACACAAACAAGCACAACCAGGCACAGACCCTTTGTCCAGTGTAAGCACAAATCAAACCATGGTTTGAATATGAGCTAGCTGACACATTCTATATAGGAAGAATGACAACTTTGCCAAACATGGCTTCAGAAGTATGTAGAGTTCTTGAACTCATATAGATATGGTCTCAATCCACTGAATGATGACGAGGACGTCACATTCCTCAATTTGGATAAAGCTCCAGACCAAGGACTCCTAGCCAGAACACCTGTAACTTAGCAGTACAGCACTGATACCCTCATGCTTGGCTCTCATGACATCCACCTGTGGACACCTGCTGAAGCTGAACAAGATGGTAAGTGTCAAGAACCATCTACAATGTCCTTACTAACAGCCTTTAGACTCGCCAAGCAACAGAGGGCGATCAGGGGGCGGAACACTTGCACGGCGACAAATTGATAACCTGCTGTCTACATGCACTCCAGCCAACTACCATTGATAAAATGGAGTAAATTGAATTTACACTAAACAAGAACATACATTTTTCTAGGCTCTAAATAATTTGTTTCTCTTTTCCTGTTCCTTATAATAGTCAATTGTAATGTACATAGCCTAGAAATATAAGTTTTAAAATACAAAAAATCAAACCATGGTTTAATATTGTGAAGGAGAACTATAGAAATCAATGAGAATAATGTAATAAACCAAGAAGAATATATAAGACTATTCATTGTTCAATCAGAATTCTATATTTAAAACAGTATAAATTCTATTTTATTCCATGATATTTGTATATTAGTAAAATTATAGCATAAAACTATAAACAAGATAAAAATGTATAGCAATATAAAATAGTAACACAATAAATTATCTTGAGAAAAAACTATTAAAAATTAATATCACAAAAAACTAAAATATAGTAGTATATATTAATATTAATCAATACTATAAACTTGTAACTTTAAGGCTAAAGTTAATAAATAATCTAGAAGCTAAGAAGATTAATAAAATCTTACAAATGATGCTCAGTTAATGGTACATGGTTGCTACTAATATTTTATATTCTTTTTAAATAGCCTCCTTAACAATGTAAGCTTCTTGTCTTATACATATCATGCTTATAGCTATTCTGTAGTGGCCATGTCTAAGCTGTTATCTCATTATAAATATCTTAAATTAAACCATGGTTTGATCTATATATAAAACTTATTATAAATGTTTAAAACAAGAGAATTTTTTTATAACTTCAAATTAAACCATGGTTTGATTTATGCTTAAATTAATAGTTGCATACCAAATTATATTTCCAAGATTAGTAGAAAAAGTAATATTTTACTACATTTATGTAATCATTTGAAAATTGGTGCAAATTTGAAAATGAAAATTGGTTCTCTGATTACAATTCAATTCATTATGGTCACCAAGATTGATTCATCTATGACAAAAAGTCTAGCTCCTTGAGAAGTTGCTGCATCTTCTCTACTAGGAACCAAACAGATAAGTATTGATATCCTCTCTCTGCAGTGGAACCCTCTATTTGGAACAAATAAACCTCCAAATTTACAACACATAAAACAGCTTGCAGAAACCTTTTGTGCCACAGGACTACAATGTACAGCTCCAGAGAATTGAATTATAGTTTGTTGTACAAAAAAACACTGGAATCACATTGAAGGAATATCACAAACATTTTAACAAAGGGTTAGAGCAATCTCATCATGTACAAAAGCATCTATGCCAGGCATTAGTGGGGAGCTAGAAATGATCTCAGAACAGCATTGTATACTTGCACTAAAAAAACTGTGGGAAGCAAGTCCAGCTGAAGAATATGAGGAGGTTAGTCTGGCCAGCATTTGATGATTACAAAAAGCTTTGTACTAATATTGTTAAAGCTCTTGTAGTGGCTGTGTAATGTTTATGATTCAGGTACAGCTTTATTTAGTCTTCTATGTCTACAACAAAGGCTAATGCTTTTGCAGAAACCTTGTCCACTAAGGCAAGTAGGATGCTACAAATGAATCGAACTGTACTTTACCTACCCGACTCTCAAGGAGACATGTGGATGGCACTTATGGCAACCAATGGACTTGATAAGATCACATCTGGAAAAGATCTTCAGGTTGCCATAACTCAAACTCTTAAATTAGGTCCAGGTGACAAATTTCCAGTCTCTTGCATTGCTACCTTATTCTGGCATCTAAAATATGCCAAAGCTATAACACAATTTTGTAGTTCAAGTATTGGTTGACAAATGTTTTCAGTTAGGAACTAGACAATATTAATGCAACTGCAACTAGAAGGGGTCTGTATTCAATTACAACTGGACTGGGCTCTGCTGACAATAGTAGTATTGGGATGTCCAGTTAGAGAGTGTATCAAGACTAGCCTCTAAGCTGGGTGGAAATGAGTTGACATTTATTCTCTCCTCCAATTAGAAAAGGCTACAAGGACTGGTACAACCCCTACAAGTGGAAGCATTGGAAGCTCTATTCTTTCCAACATCCAAGCAAAAGCAATGTACCATGGAGAAAGGCATGCCCAACAGAAGAAGTGATTTTCTTGCTGGATTGAGCAACAAGAAATATCATCAAGCATTTGAACATCTAAAGACACATCTTGGTACCAAGATCCATAATATAGATCAAATATACAGTGGTATCTGAAGGTATGGACAAGATGCCAGCTTAGCTGTACAACATGTCTGTCTGTGGCTTGACCCAGAGTATGATTCAATTGGGTCAAAAGGGCATAATAAACCCCTGCTCTGGAAAAGCTTACTTGGAGCTTTCTCCAGCCTGCCAGTGGATCAACAAGAATCATACATAATTAAGCTTCAAGCAACAATTATTAACTATGTAATTGTGCACCACCAAAAACTTAAAGAAACACCTTATCTCAAAAGCTTGGTATGTACACCACTAATGTAGCAGACAGTTATGGCACTAAATGAATACAAGGATCAATTAAATTATAACAAGCAGTTTCAGAATGACATCTGGTACAACCTACTAGCCATTGTGTGAAGTCAATGTGGACAGAATGTCCTGGGACATATCTGACAAGAACCAAGTACTGAAGTAAGTTTGTAATCAAACCATGGTTTGAATTCAAGCTAAACATCGGCAGGCACTGGTGAAAATTGGACCAAAATTAACCTCTCTCATTTCACAGCATTCATGTGTGAAGGGAACAGTTCTCAAGAGTCTAGATGCTTTGATATCATTATCTGACTGGCTACAATCTACACTTGAAACATGGTACCATGATTTTCTCACCCCTGTCCAAACACTCTTTGAGACAAATCCAAGCCAAGTCCAAGATGTGTCCTGCGACATGGAGTCAGAGGCATTTATGCATACAGATGGTTTATATAAACGAAGAAGTAGCGTTGTATCTGTCCCAACCCATTCTAGAATGTCGTTGGAGCATGATGCTACATCAAAGGTGCAAGTCTCTGAAACAACAAGAGAGACAGACGGATCTACATCACCATCAACACTAGCTCTTTCAGGAAACACCTCAACCAAACCATTCCCCCTAAGTTCACTCAAATCCAAGAGGGTTGCATCGTGGCAATCCCGGACCCCAGCAGGATCTCGCATACAGAAAAGCTCCACACGACCAAATAAACAGCTACGTTCAGAGCCAAAATAATGTTGGTGACAAAAGTCTCCAGAGCTTGTGTTGACTTGACCATTGAGAATGTATTCAAATCAAACCATGGTTTAATGTTAGTCTTAGGATCCATGAGTAGGATGATGTTTTTGTATTCAAATCAAACCATGGTTTAATGTTAGTCTCAGGATCTATGAGTAGAACCAGACATGTTTTAATTTACATTTTCATAGTAGATTTTTGTACTGTCTGAAAGAAAACTACTAGAAAAAACACCCAACACTAGTGGGAAAGCCAGTGAGCAAAATCAAACACTCATTTGATTTGGACTCATTCAACAAGCTCTAATGGCCATGGCTAATGTTAAAAACCTAAGTTTGTCAGAGGGGAGGTCTGTTTTAGTTTGCAACTCTTAATTCTGATGGCTAATCTAAGCAGTGACAAGCCCTACAAACCTCTCTCAAGCCCAGAATCATTTGAATGGCAGGCATGCATATCTGAAGACACTGGCAGTAAGTGGCATTGATCAAAGTCAATCACTCTGGCAAGGGCTACATGTTGCCAAATATCACTTGTGGAGGACTCTGAGCATAGCTCTGAGTGAAGTCATTCAGAATTTTATCTAGAAAGTAAAGATAGTAGCTCACTGAGGAGCACATATTCTTTCTTAGAATCTACACATGGTGCAGTTCAGGAATGGTACATTAGAGACACCCCTTCTGCTCTGCACATAAGCAGTAGGTACAACAGAAGTCCTAAGTGATCAGTGCTGACAATGACTAGCCAGCTGACTGTGGTCATTGCTACAAAATTAT